ATATATATATATATATATATATATATATATATATATACATGTATATTATATATATATATATGTATATATATATATATATATATATATATATATATATATATATATATATATATATATATATATATCAACTTCGCCTTTTATTTCTCCACGTTGAGACCGATATAAGAACCCACCACTCTTCTGAGTGATCCTTATAATATATTGGATTGACGGTCGTACTCTTTTTTCCGATATATATGTATGTATATAGATATATATGTGTATATATGTCATTCCGATATACACATATATATCATTCCGATATATATGTGTATATATGTATGTATATGTATATATATTTATATATATATATATATATATATATATATATATATATATATATATATATATATATATACATATATATCGGAAAAAAGAGTACGACCGTCAATCCAATATATTATAAGGATCACTCAGAAGAGTGGTGGGTTCTTATATCGGTCTCAACGTGGAGAAATAAAAGGCGAAGTTGATTGGCTACTATTTTGAAGACGTTTCGCTTTCGTATTCGGAACGCATCATCAGTTCATCTAAAAAGTACAATATGAGATCCAAACAATCATGGAAAAGATGTTATAAGTGTTACCTTAAAAGACATGTAGTTTGTGAATTAACATTTACTTTAGTTTTATTCACAAACTTGTTAATACCTTTGACTGCTACATGTCTTTTTAAGGTAACACTTATAACATCTTTTCCATGATTGTGTGGTTCTCATATTGTACTTTTTAGATGAACTGATCATGCTTTCAGAATACGAAAGCGAAACGTCTTCAAAATAGATAAAGTAGCCTATCAACTTTGTCTTTTATTTCTTCACCTTGAGACCGATATAAGAACCCACCACTCCTCTGAGTGATCCTTGTAATATATATATATATATATATATATATATATATATAAACCTACTATATATATACATATATATATATATATATATATATATATATATATATATGTAATATAATTATATATATAAACCTACTATATATATATATATATATATATATATATATATATATATATATATATATATATATATATATATATATATATATATATATATGTAATATAATTAAATTAAAATGGTTCGACTTCCACAGGTAGTCAACATATTAATCATCGTATGAAGACGACTCGTCGGTTGATGAAGAGCTATCGCGATTAGTATTATTTATATTGATAATTAATGGTTTAACCGAAATGTCTACTCTTGTGTCTAAGTCCGACATTCTATCTTCTTCTTTTATAGTGTGTTTTATACAATTTTTCCAAGACTCAGGTGTGACATTTTGTATGGCAGTAGCGAACAAGTACTTCACCTCCTCCATTTTAAAACTCAAATTTTCCCTTGCCACTTGGTTTTTTATTTGAGTCCATATAAGCTCGATAGGGTTCAGCTCACAATAATAAGGAGGGAGACGATGTACAATTATGTTGTTTGCACGAGCCATTTCATCGACTACATATTTCTTGAAAACGGGTATATGTATTCTCGCGAGGTTTCCTAATTGTACTTTCAACACGTTGTCATCAAATGATTTTTTTTTAAGAGCCAGTTGATTATTTCACCTTTTCGTCAGGCATTAGTTGGTGATGGCCCAACCGTCAACTGTGGTATGACGCATTGTCCATAACAACGACAGAATATGCTTCAAGGTTTGGTAGAATATTTGAAAACCAACCTTCGAATCTTTGAGTGTTCATTTCCTCATGGTAATCTTTCGTTTTCTTGGATTCGAATAGTAACAAGCCGTTGTCCAGAAAACCCGAATCGCTGCCTATATATGTTATTATGAACCTCCGTTCTTTACCCACTGGTGTTTTTAAAGCCGTTGAAAGCTCTTCAATGAAGGCTTGTCGACGACTTTTAATTTCTAAATATTGCCACACCTTTGAGACAGTATGACTTTGATTTAACCAAGTTTCATCTAAATAGTATACATTTCGTTCTTTACGAAGATACTCCCGAATTTTTGTAAGTAATTGTTCCGCCACAAAACAATTTCATCTTTTTTTAAAAGAACACTATTCCTGCTTCTTTTCATATATTTAATGTTCACTTATTTTAATGTTCGCAATAAAACACGTCGTAATATTTTAATTATTCAATTATCGGAATTTATTTCAACTTTAACTTTCTTTAAGATTGATATTTCGTTCCGAAAAAAAAAACATGGAATTTCCTCCGAATAGCATATTTGGTATGATCTTCAATGTGGATGCGTTTTCTACCTCTGGTTTCAATGGTTTCAACAGGTCCAATCCAATCATCCAATATGCCTTCATTTTGGTTAAAATTGTTTACAATTCTGTATAAACTTCTCGCCGACACTTTAATCAAATCACTACACAGGGTAACTACATCGTTGACCAACATGTAGTTAGGCGAACAAATGGCGACTTTAGATTTGTCGTCCCAAAAAACTGCAGCTTACCACCAAATTTCGTGGTCTTATCTCATGCCTGTGATGAAATATTTGAAAACAAAAGTTCAACTTTGACTCCCTTTATTTTGGTAATTATCAACTTTGATACTAAATAGTTTAAATCGGCATATTTTAATCTCATTTAAGATTAACTTATGACCATTCGTTATATATATATATATATATATATATATATATATATATATGTATATATATATATATATATATATATATATATATGTATATGTATATATATATATATATATATATATATATATATATATATATATATATATATAAGAGTAAGAAAAAAGAAGTACTTGTGCCTCGTTTGGAAAAAATATAACACTGTTTTTGATGGGTTGGAGTCAATAAAAGGGGCTATTTGTTGACTATTTTTTACTCGAGCTTTCAAATTGTGATTACAATTTTTGTCAAGAGCTTCTAAAAAATACAAAATGTCTTACAAAGTTGACCTAGAAATAAAAAATTTTTTGTTAACTCCCCAAATAAAATTAGTTTTTTACATAAAACTACTGCTTACATAATAAATACAAAAAATATTAATAAAAAAATGTCTTATTTTAATAAATATTTCTCTGAAAAATTTAGATGAAGTTTCTTAAGAAAAAAATTGAATTTATAAACAAAAATAGAATAGCTACAACCAGCCTAAATGGCATAAATACTAACTTAAAAATTTTTATTTTTGACATATTGTCAAAAAAAAAATTTTGTTTAAAAAATTCTTCTTTGTTTAGTAACAAAAAAGAAGAAGATTTATTCACCATTGATAGATGCCCGAAAAAATGTAACAAATACATGGAAAATTCAAAATGTGATATTTTACTGACTGCATAAATTAAATAGAAATTATATAATTATAAATTTTGCTTAAATTTTGAATTTCTGACCTTTTGTTTAAATTATTATCACTTTTGCTAATACAAACCATTTCCAAAAAAGTTCTTTTAAATTTATTACTTTCATTACATAAAATTTTAATATTATCAAAATCCATAATATGGTCTTTGTCTATTACATGCTCTGCCAAAGCACAAGATGGTTTCTTAAATCTACAATCACTCTTGTGAGAAGTAATGCGATTTGAGAGATTTCTTCCAGTCTCACCAATATACTCTTATATAGCTTCACACTGAGTACAAACAATGCTGTATACTACATTTGTTTGATCTAATTTGTCTATAGGATATTTAGTTTTGGAATATAAAGATGAAATAGTTTTGATGTTCTTTGTTGCTATTTTTATATTGTCAATAACCTTTAATGTTTGTATTAATTTAGGAGTTAATGATGGTATAAAAGGTACTGAATGATAATATATGTTTTGATTGTTGGATACAGTGTTTTGAGATTTAGCAAAAAATGGTGTTAAGTTATTTATATTTAATAAATTAGAAAAAAGCATCCTATGTAGCATATCAGGAGGATAAGAGTTTTCAATTAAAATATTTTTTAACAAATGAAGATCTTCTTGTAGGTAGTCTGGATGAGAAAGTTTTAAAACACGTTCCTTTAATCCTGTTATAAGGTTCATTTTCATTTTATTTGGATGGTTAGAGTAATAGCTTATAAATCTATTACTACATATGGGTTTTCTGAACCATCTAGTTTTCAACATATTGTCTGCATTTCTTACAATTCTCATGTCAAGGAATGGTAGAGAATTATCTACCTCTTCCTCAACTGTAAATTGTATATGTTGATTATGATTGTTGAAAATGTTGACTGTTTCAAGAATTTTGTGTTTAGGAAGAGCCAAAACTAGATCATCTACATATCTTTTGATAAATGGAATGAAAAAAGTGCAATTATTGATACAATCACTAATAACATCATCCATGACATAGCTACTTAGAATGGGTGAAAGACTAGATCCCATAGGGCTACCAAAAATTTGTTTATAAAAAACACCATTAAATATAAAAATATTAGAATCAAAAACAAAGTTGATGAGTGTTTTAAAATGTAATAAGTCAATATTAGTATGTTGCGAAATCTCATTCCAATGTTTTTCAACACTACTACGATTAAATTTAAAGGTAAATTAGTAAAAAGAGATGTTACATCAAAACTAACTAAAACATAATTTTGTGGTAATTGGAAATTATTAATGAAAGAACTAAAATCAAATGAATCTTTTATGTAAAAATTGTTATTTAAATTATAAGCATTGGTTAAGATGTCAGTGAGGAGCTGTGCTATTGGTCCATTTGGCATTTCAAAATTTATAATTCTATTGCACCACGGTTTTATGCTCTACCTAAAATACATAAACCAACTTTATCTATGAGACCAATTGTTTCATCTCTATGCCCTCCAAATATTTTTCGTACGCCATTGGAAGACCTGCAATAGCGATGAACCGTCACTATTACTTTACCAAGAATTTAATGCCTAAATTTCTGGATTCTGACTAGAGTCCCTTTCAATTATTTTTTAATATTTTGAAAAATAACTTGTTGATTATGTGTAAGGCTAATTTAATTTACAAAACTTTATTATTTGCAGGACAACGACATAAGTAACCCTCAACATGTAGCTCTGATTGATTTCCAGATAACGTGCCTTCATTCACCTATATTGGATATCTCATTCTTTCTTTTCATGAATTTATCTAGTGAAGAATTTCCACAAATCAAAGAATTTTTTGAATTTTATTACAGCGAATTATCGTCTGTTTTGACAGAACTAGGCAGTGACGTAAATAAATTGTTCCCAAAACATGTTATGCAAGAACATTTAAGGAAATTTTTCCAATATGGATTTTGTATATCAGTAGCGTTCTTGGAAATCTTGTATATCGATAATGAAGATGCACCCCCTTTGATTGATGAAGAAACCAACGAGGTACTGGGAGGTCTTAAAGAGCTTAAGTTAAAGTCAGGGAAGAATATGTGAGACGTCTTGTTTCTATGGTAGATAGCTTCTTTAATAGTGGATATGTATAATGTGTAATACTAAAATACTAAAATAATATATTACCTATATAAAAGACTAGAGTGACTTTTCTTTTTTACTGTTCTCTATTGTACATAAACTTATATTTGCAAACAATTCGTTCTTAAATACACCAAATATAAGTTGTTGATACATTCGATGGTAGCTCTATTTATTTTATAAATATGTATAGTAGAAATAAAAAGATAGTGTTTTATTGCTCTGATTTTTATGTCTCTTTACAACTATAACACTTTTTAAACGTAAGCCACCTACGAATTTCGACAAAAGGTGATTATTTCTATAGGGACAAAGTTAAATATTTGACAAAAATAGAATTCTTTTTGTTCAAGATAGATAAATATACAATAAAAGATTATATTAATATTGTTCTGAAGCTATTTTCTTGTGGCGTTGTAAATTAATTACTATTAATTTACTGTTTGTATTTTGAGAACGATTTCCGAAGTGGAAATTAAAACGTCAATAAACGTATTTTTATCTTTAATTGTGGCTTATTCCCAGTTAAATAGTAATTAAAAGATTATCTGTCAAAATTATTAAAAACATTTTTAAGAGATTGTTAAGTTTGTGGGTGCTACCATGGTGGAATCATTAGTACTTATGAGGATTAATAGAATATAGCAAACTCATGCAAGTTTTTTGATATTAATAAGAACCTAAATAATAATAATAAAAGCAAAAGTACTAACACACCTCACAAAGGCACAAAAACATGATCCTCAAAGTGCAGTAGAAAAGACGTCATTATCGCGGTACTTAGGAGAACGAGGACTTATAGATTTAAGTGAGCAACTATAGTGTATTTTTATGTATGAGAGTGTAATAAAACAATAAATTATGTATGCAAATCCCTAAACTGTTGATACGGGTGCCTCAATGAAAAACAGATATTTGTCAACAAGTTTACAGAAGTATATAGGAAAACAATTTTAAATTGAGTATGACCACCAGGTATAAAGGTTGGAGCAGAATAGAATACAATAGTTGTGATGATTACTAATCCCTAAATAAGGTTGCCAGTGTCGGAGTGATGGAGGTTAACAGGTACTAATGAATTTGCAAGAAATGTAAGATGTTTATTTTATTGGTTATATATAACCAATAAAAGTTTAATAAGTACCTACCTATTTGCAAAATAAAGTTTAATTCTTTAGATAAAATAAAACGTTTTATTTTATCTGAAATGAGTGCATTCCACGAAGTAAGGGTTTCAACAATCAAACATTTAATTCTTTAATTCCAGGAATCTACGTCAGTAATTGACTAGATAATTACCTTCTAAACTTATTCCACAGAAAATGTGATAGTGGGTTTTTCCATCTTGTAGGAAGGTCCAAGTGGCATATTCAAAATTCTTAACAGTTTACTAAAAGTAGGTGCTTCAGTTGCAAGGTGCAGTTTATTGTGTATACTAGTGTTATGGAAAATTTGGAAGTGCCGTGTAAACGCCGAAAAATTGGTACTTTAACAGTTAATGAAAAAACATTAATATTTAATTGTTTTAAATCATTTACAGACAAACGTTTATGTGAAAGTGTTGATGAGACCGTTGAGTTAGTTAGCAGTACACTTGGTGTTGGTAAATCTACGATTTACAGAGTTATTAAAGAAGAGAAATGTGGTAGTTTTCAAATGCCACGTAATGCTCCAGGGAAACCAAAATTTCAAATAGAATATCATTTTAAAGAAGGACTTCGACGAAAAGTGCATGAATTCTTCTTTAGACAAGAATTTCGAACATTGGATAAAGTTCTTGTCTCAGTTCGAGATGATAAGGATTACCCAGAAATGAGTCAAAGTACGTTATGGAAACTTTTAAAAGAAATAGGCTTCCGCTGGAAAAAGAATCCCAGAAAGTCTATTTTATTAGAAAGAAGGGATATTGTCATATGGAGAAGATATTTTCTAAGAACCATAAAGGAAATGAGAAACCAAAAAAGAAAAATATTTTATCTTGATGAAACATGGATCAACGAGGGTCATACAGCAAATAAATTTTGGCAGGATTAAACTGTTACAAGTCAAAGGCACGCTGTTGTAAATAACTTATCTACTGGTTTAAACTCACCATCAGGAAAGGGACGCAGGCTGATAATAGTACACATTGGCAGTTCAGACGGTTTTGTTGAAGGTGGTTTATTAACTTTTGAATCAACTCGTACCGGTGACTACCATGAAGACATGAACGCTGATGTCTTTCAAGAATGGTTCGAACAAATGATAGATCTTCTTCCTAAGAACTGTGTAATAGTAATGGATAATGCAAGTTATCACTCCAGACTTATAGAAGGACTGCCCACAACCAAGTGGTTAAAAAAAGACTTGCAGAATTGGCTGAGTTCAAAAAATATTACGTACAATCCCGGATTTATAAGAAAGGAACTTTATTCGTTGTGTGCCCTTCATAAAGAAAAATTTAAAAAATACGAAATTGATGAAATTGGCAAAAATCGTGGAATGACAGTACTTAGATCCCCACCATATCATTGTGAATTAAACCCGATTGAACTGGTATGGGCACAGATAAAGAGTGAAGTTTCAAGAAAAAATACCACTTTTAAAATTTATGATGTTAAACAGTTGTTTTTGGAGGCCGTAAATAATGTTAAACCTGAAAACTAGGAAAATGCAGTAAATCACACTATTAAAGAAGAGGAAAAAATGCGGAAGCTGGACAATATTACTGATAAAATGATCGAGCCAGTTATTATAAATCTTGGTTCTGAAAGTTCATCTTCTGAATCTGATTTGGATTTGTAACAAGTAGCTGTAAGTTTTATATTAATATTTTTATTCATCTATGTAACATACCTTAGACGGTTTTAAAAACTCTTTTTCTCTTTTGTAATTTTTAAAAATTAAAAAAAATGTGAATTTTTTAAAACCCTTTTTAATGTACGCCAGTCAGTTCAAATATAGTGTGTGATAAAAGAGGTCACTTTTGTTTACATACACATAACAATTTATAACACTGAAATAATTCATTTATTTTTTACAAGTATTCAAAGTAATTTTTCAATTAATCTTGAGCACGCCCATGGAGTGGTCGGAGGTACCAGTTAAGCTTATGCTAATTACTCTCTCGTTCATAAAAATAAACTATAGAAAAACACATTACTAATTTAAGAACTGATTTTTAGGTTCAGACTGAGACATCTACTCTACATCACGCGATTTGTGCAACACCGGTCAAACTGAGGGAACCAGAAATGCGCATAAACCATCTTACTAAGGACGCAAAAATAAGCAGCTGGATGGGTAAACCTCTTCACGGGCGATATCCTAATAAGATCAGTCAAGACCATGTCGACAATACAGTGTCGAACTATTGGCTGACATCAGGAAAGTTGTTCCCTAAAACAGAATATTCATTACTCTCCATTTAGGATTAGCTTATATCAACCAAAAATCACCTGAAATATATCATAAAAGACCCTCAGGTACAAAATAACAAATGCCGATATAAATCTCAAGCTCAAGAAACCATACAGCACCTTACTGGGGACTGCCAGGCATGTGCTACAACTGAATATAAGGAACGGCACGATTTAGTAGGAAAAATCCTTCATCAAAAAATAGCCATCAAACTGGGACTTCTCCAAACATACCATCTTTCATATTATCAATACTTTCCTAAAAATATATTTAAGAATGATAACTACAAGCTATACTGGGACCGCATTGTGCTCACATACCAAACAGTGGCCAGATCTCATACTAGTTAATAAGCTAAAAAGACAAATAACACTAATTGATGTGGCGATACCCAACAACAATAATCTTCATGTTAAACAGACCGAAAAGATTGTCAAGTACAGGGATCTGAAAATTTAAATACGAAGACAGTGGAAAATGGAAAGTACTCAGACAATACCTATTATTCTCTCTACTACTGGAGTCATTCCAAAGAACCTCCTATAAAACATAAAAAAGCTAGATCTGAATGAACAACTCTACAAGACCATGCAGAAAGCTGTACTGCTCTCAACGTCCAGATGTGTACGAAAATTTTTGGGAGATACTCCAACATACCATTTCCTAGGGGCTTTCACCTAGGGCTCGATAACACGAAAAGAGTCCCACCAGAGCTCAATCCTCTTGATACCGTAGGTATCTGGGATGAGTGAATTTTTCCCTTAGCGAGAGTGTGAGCCGTATGACTAAATCTAGATAATAAAACCAATAAAGTATTTATTTTTATTTTTATTTTGAACGAAAAAAAATGTTTTTGCTGTTAAACAAAGCTCTACCCTACGTAGATTGAACTTTCGTCTCGTTATATGGGGTTGATTTCTTGTACTACATAGCGCAAATCTTATGTTAATCCAATATATACTGGAATCGGCGGAAACTTGGAACTTAAATTTCTTTACCAAAGGTTCTGATTTTCTACCCTTCTAAAAAGAAGGCGGAGGAGTACAGTTGAACAAACTGTAAGTTGAAATTTTTGTTTACTTACAGTTTTTTCAATCAAGATTCATTAGCAGGTACCAAAACTTTGTTGCCATGCCTAATGGACTTAATATACATATACTGGAGTAGTGATTATAGTTTATTTTTATGAACGAGAAAGTAAATAGCATAATTTTAACTGGTACCTTCGATCACTCCATGGGCGTGCTCAAGATTAATTGAAAAATTACTTTGAATAATTGTAAAAAATAAATGAATTATTTGAGTGTTATAAAGTGTTATGTGTATGTAAACAAAAGTGACCTCTTTTATCACACACTATATTAGAACTGACTGGCCTACATTAAAAAGGGTTTTAAAAAATTCACATTTTTTTTAATTTTTAAAACTTACAAAAGAGAAAAAGAGTTTTTAAAACCGTCTAAGGTATGTTAAATAGATGAATAAAAATATAAATATAAAACTTACAGCCACTTTTTACAAATCCAAATCAGATTTAGAAGATGAACTTTCAGAACCAAGATTTATAATAACTGGCTCGATCATTTTATTTACCAGCATATATATTTTTACCAGCTTCCACATTTTTTCCTCTTCTTTAATAGTGTGATTTA